GCAACACTATGGATGCCAACTGCCGTAAAACTCCAACGAAGAAGATGACCAACATCACTATTGTGATGTACATTTGTGTTAGGGACTGTTGACTGTGGAATTGTTACACTGGAGAAATGGTGAGTGGTTTCTTTAATTGCTATTCACATATGCTAATATGATATTATAATACCAATATGCACTGTGGCCTGGCCCCATGTGTTAGCCAGGTACGTGTGAACCAGCCATCTTGCCAGCTGAGATTAGTTAAGTTAATTAGTTAATTAGCTAAGCCAGGAACACGCTACACAACTGTAAGGCTGGTTATGAATGTAATTTGATACTTAAAACTGATCACACCCAAATGTGTCAGAGCCATTTGCGTTCAGTTGGTGTTTACAGTCAGCATTTAGAATGATTCAATTAGTCGTTAAGTGTGTCCCTGGCTTTAGGTTGCATATCAGTATTTATGATTTGTTATACTTCCCAAATCAGAATATTACTAGACTACATTACTACCTCGGGATCAAATTTCAGTAACTATACAAGCATGTTTTGTGGAAGCATGGATGCATGATTTGTTTCATATTTTGTTTAACTAATAGTTATTTTCACCTGTTAGGTTGTTAGTAACTGATTGCAATGACATATTGTTCTCTGTGTTTCAGGATGTGTCAAGTCTTTCCAAGGGGACAAAGAAATCGAAGTTAAGAATCGAAAAGGAGTCATCAAAACAACACCAGAAGCAGAATGTATCTGTTAAATTGAAATGTCTGTCAAATGCCAACACCAAACTGAAAATAAATCAAAATGAACAAGGAAACCGAATTGTAGAAATACTTTGAAGGAAATAAAAGATGAAATTCTACATGTTTGTGATATTACTGATTGTTAATAAAGAATAACAATTTGGTCCCTCAGTAATATCACAAACATGTAGAATTTCATCTTTTATTTCCTTCAAAGTATTTCTACAATTCGGTTTCCTTGTTCATTTTGATTTATTTTCAGTTTGGTGTTGGCATTTGACAGACATTTCAATTTAACAGATACATTCTGCTTCTGGTGTTGTTTTGATG